CCGCCACGCGGGACCTCGCGCAAGTAAGGCGAGCGGAGAGACGACGTTCTGATCTGCCCTTCGGGAGTGAGGACGTGGCACTCATTGAGCCCGAGCCCTACTACGACAGCGAGACGTTTTGGTGGAAAGTTGAGCAGTACCAGACCACGAACGAGAGATCAACCGTGCCAGGAAAAGCCTTTTATTGTGAGCAATGCCGAAGTCATCTCCTGGATTCCGAGAGTCTCAGGAACGCCCAGTTTGGGTCTTATTGTCCTGGGTGCGCCTTCAAGGAACAATGGAGACAATACCCCGAAGTGGTGTCGTGGGATGACTGGAAGCGGCTGGAGCAGAACTGTGCCGCTTGCGCGGTGTACCTCTACCGGAACTATTTCATCGATGTTGGGACCGGCGAGGCAATTTGCGATCCAGCCAGCAACATCAAGAACTTCATCCAGCATCGTGCAACCACGAGTCGGTCCAATCTGGCTAAAACCGTGTCGTCTCTGGGTGCCCTACGGGTTCCGGTGAATATGGCCATCGAGTATTGTCAACAAGGGCGAGCGAGACACCTCGGGTGGGGACGCGCTCTTTCTTACAATGGCAACGTGTGCTATATCGCGTACTACGATCCCGGGAACGCCGCGTACGCAGGATTCATGAATTGCCTGTTCACCCGCGAAGAGATCACCGAAATGTGTCGGGGATCTCCTGACCCAAGTGAAGAACTGCTGGGCGACATCATCGAGATCGCGACCGGGCTGCTTGTCGTGGCACTCCGGTTTCCCGGTATGTTCCCCAAGTGGGGGGGCAAGCATGTCATCGAAGCCTGCCTTCGAGGGATCGAGAGATCTTTTCATCGATACGCAGCTGTGGAATCAATCACATTGTTCCCAACTCAGAATCGGAAGAGGAGACGACCGGCCGACATCACTCCGGAGGAACAACAAGGTATTGAGGAACTTACACCGCTTATTTCGTTCAACTTCTTCGCTGACCCTGCGGACCGAGCTGACGAGGAAGGTGAAGCCGTGCAAACTCAGATACCGCAGCCAGTCGAGGAACCGGAATATCATGCCGCGCCCGAAGAGGATCCTGCGGTTTCCATCGCTACCGGTGAAGAGCCCGAAGAGGAAGAAGGAGAGCAGGGAGATCCTTTGGACGGACTTGGCGAGGCTCAATTGGAAGTCTCAGAGCTCGTCCGCCTGGACAGGACCTCCTTGCCCGAGAAGACGTTTGTACGTCCTGCGGTGCGATTGGTGATCACGGCACTTTCGACTGTAGAGTTTATCCGGCCAACCCCGAACAGATCGCTCTTGGCATGGGCCTGCTTGATACCTTTTCCATGGTTACAGGCCACCGCGACACGGGTCCTCACAGCGAAGCACCGACATGGAGGTCGATCAAGTCAATGAAGGAGATGAGAGGATTCGCGATCCCCCAGAAGGAGCCGGGGTGCCAGAATCCCATCCACCTGACGCTGGTCGCCCAGTCCCTACAAGGACACCCCGTGAAACAGTGGATGGCAATGAGACCCTGTCTCGTGATCAACGTCCTCCTCTACCTCGTATCCGTCCAACCACTGCCGCCGCTGAAGGGCGAGCAACCGTGCCCTCACCTACGGTGGAGCCGGTGATCACCACGCGACCTAAAGCCAAGGCAAGGCCGTCAAGCTCGCGGTGGAACCGGGCTGCGACTACCACTGGTGTTGTCGAGTTGATTTACGATCAACCATGTATGGCCACCGAACTGGTACGAGCCCGCGAAGGACAGGATTCCGTGGAAATCAGAGACATGGGCCTGGCCTCCAACGAGGACGTTGGCCATTATGTCCGACGGACTATTGGCGAGGTTGTCGCGATTCATCCACGACGTGGTGATCCGCTCCCGCAGGAATCTGAGAATGTCTCCGAATATTTTCATGCTGCAAAGGGGGTGTTTGGCGGGGATCTGCGCGTCATGCCTCGTCGCGGAGGGATGTTCCTGTCACGGTGTTGGGAGGGCTGCGAATGCTTTGAAGACCTTCCGTCTCGTCTCGAATACGACCGGATTGATCGGCTCATGTATGGTTTCAATTCCCTCCTGAGGCACAAAATCGGTAGGTTTGCCTACAGTGTCCGATTTCGGAATGTTTCGAGTTTTCCTACGTTGGAATGCGATGAAGGAGGTTGGGTGAGTGTGGAGCGCGATGCCTTTTGGCAACCCACCTTCGCAAATCGTTCAGCCCGGGGAAATCCCGCCGAAAAGAGCAGAAGGCTCAGGGCCCTCATGAAGGCAAATTGGGCGGTTGGCCAAAGGACCCAGAGGTTTCGTCTGCAGTTCCTCGGTATCAAGGTCTGCCCCCTCGCTGGCCACATCGTGTCGGGTGAGCCTGGATCGTCCCAGCCTGTAAGTATGGAGACTCAGATAGCAGAACTCCCGAGTTCAAGAGATACCAGCTTTGAAGACTCCAACGTTTACATTGGCGAAGACGTGTGGATACGTCCTTGGGCCGTGCGTGCCACGAGTGGGCATTCTGTCGATCGCTACTCGGCCATCCGCCTCGAACCAACGAAAATCGCCTACCGTCCATCGCTTCAGGTGATGCAAGACCTCGGAGGTGGATTTCATTCGACATCGATTCGTAACATTTATGGCAGGCATTCTCCCCGGCGGTCCCCACGGGACGCGGCTGAGCGCCCACTTCGGCGTTTTCGCACCGTGGGATCATCGCAACCTCGTTACCAGGTACCGCATTCCCAGAGACCCCCGAATGCCGTTATACTCGTCCTGTACGTCCCGTCCTATAGGTGCTGCTGAGCTATGGTGCAACGTTGTCCGACAATGGGGTGTACCTGGTGTCAAGGCCGATTCTCCTCGAGCAGGTGAGGGATGCATGGATTGCCGTACCCCAACACAACCATGCGTGGCGATTCCGCGAAGTCCGGAAGATCCTCAGCGACTCCCTGGACAACGAGATCGTGGAGATGTCAATGGCACGTACGACCCCAACGGGGCGTACTTGGATGCTACACCTGCGAAAGTGAAGGAGATTCTCCTCAGCCTAAATCCAGGCCCGCGTGCTTCAGAGCGTGATCAACTTGTTGCAGAGTTGGACGCAGGGGATAGATCATTCAACCTCAAGCGCAGGTGCGTGGCGATGTGCAGCAGACACTATTCGAACACTTACAACGCGGCATCCCAACGGGAGCCGCTCAAGCTACGCGTGTGTCCACAATGCATGCACGAAACTCCCACAAAGTTGGCAATCTGCCACCACTGCCTCGCGATCTTCGACTGTGTTGGGCGTAAGGAGTACATCACCCCAACTACCATTGTCGTCGTTGATGCGCCTGAGGTCAATGTGGACACCCTGCAACAGGCTCAAGCTGAGGCTGACGCCGAAGTCGAGGCCGCTATGGATGCGGAGCCAACTCCCGAGCCGGGTTCAGCGGACGGCTCCGATCGAGAGACGTCGCTGGAGCCCGACCCCGAAGCCCTCGAGCATGACGAGGAGATGATGGATGAGGGCGACAGGCAGGATGCAAACGATGTGGACTACGACGAGAGCCTATTGGATGATGAACTTCGAGGAGTGTTGCAGCTCGGCCACGACTCGAACATCAACACCCTGAATGCCAAGGCCATGGCTGCTCTCACCATCCGTCTGTATCCACAGGATCAAGGACCGTACTTTGTTGCAAACTATGACTCCAGCCACGTCGCGGCACAGTTCATGGACGTCATCTTCTGCGGACTCATCTATGACTTCTGGCCGTCGTTTGCGAGGTTTTACCGGCTGCCCTATCCGGACATGCAATTCAAAGACGGCAGCAGACATGAT